TCCAACCCAAACCATTCTATGATTGTATGAATTTGCCCCTCAGAACAGAACGAGGCACATTCCTTGCGAGGGTGGATGGCTCCACGCAGCCCTTGCTATTCTTGTTTTATAGCCTGCTGCAATTGCCCTGGCTTAGAAAGCAAAGTGAATAGGGCTTACACACAATCCTAAGCTTTGCTGGTAAGGTAAATAATCTTAATGGAAAGTATCTATAAGATTAGTCCATCAAGGAACATAACCCCAAATTCAATTAATAAAATAGCAAGCCTTTTAAAAACCAAATCATGAAATTAATGAAAAAAATGTCTGGCTAAATAAAATGTATATGCACAGACAGCACTTCTGTAGCAATCCTCAGAATAGCTGCTTGTTTTGCTTGGTAAAGAAAGCCTATAAGACATGATGATTTTTGTATAAACATCTTTAAACAACAAATCAAGAAGTTTTAACTGTTGAGGGCGTGAAATGCAGTAAGAAAGGCTGTCTAAAAGTTAAAATTTCGTAAACCCTAAGTGGAAATGACATTTCAAATGTCACAGCCAAAAAATGACAGAAACAATGACACACCAAAGGTCATATTCAAAGTAACATTCAAAAACAAAGACAGCTGAATATAACGCCGTTAGTACATAACCATTCTCTGAGGGAAAAGGGGATTTTCAAATTGGTTAGATTAGAAAGATGACATTGGAAGAACAAGAAAATAAATGTTCTTAGGAAACCATACGAGTCACTTTAGCTAAAGAAGCATTTGATTTAAAAGAACGTAAGTGCAGCAACAAAATTTATAAGCCGTATTTTCCTGGCTTAATGTGCGCGAGTGCTTCTGCTTACATCAAGGTGATTCTACATACCCATAGCCTCGGCCAGACCAGAAACCTTCTGTCCATATATATCTGTCTTGTTCCAGGCAAACGTGTATACCAAATTGGCTGCAGCAGGAAACCATTTCTGAAGCAGACGTCCTTCAACAGCAACTATCAGATGGACTTTTGTCATTCCAGAAGGAATGGTTGTATGTGTCAAAATAATGCGCAGCAAAGTTTTATAGCCTGGCGTTCGACTGCTGAGATAACTCAGCTTCACAAAACTTGAAGGAATTGGGATTTCCTCTTGGACCACCTTGGAAAAAAACATATCATTATATCTATAGCCAAGAAAAATGCAAAATTATATTAGTAACAGCAGGTTTTACTTTTCACAATCATGATGCGAACACAGTACCACTTAAAACACCGATGGTCCTCTGTGTTTCTTTCAGTAATGCGGTAGCCAGGCATATTACAACATGTCCAACACCAGAAACTGCTCGGTCAACTTACTGGATGGCGGTCTGTCTGTTTTGATAAAGAGCCTCTTCTTCCAATGCTTTACTCTTATCTATCGAGGAGCAAATACTATCTCTGTGGACATATTCGTACACATGAGCTCTATAGCTTTACTTTGGCTTTATTATTAGGTTTACTCAATGAGTGTTCTTAACCAGATTACAATTAAACCCTTTTTTAAAATATGCACACACGTTATGCATTACATTACGATTTGAAGATACGATCCTGCTTTGGAGGTGGTAACTCTAACTTGGGGAGAGCTAAGAAAGAAAACAAACCTGCCTGCTAAACCATCTTCTGTGCAGAAGTGCTCGCGGTAAGGCTAAGCTCCAGCGAGAAGGGGCATGGCACGCGAAGGCACAGCGTAAGAAACCTAACAAGCTAACCGGGGACGCGCGGCAGTGAAGATGAAACAGCCTGGGTGTCAGAGTCATCTAGCTACCAGGTACGTCCCTAGGGTGTGCAACAGAGTTCAAATCCCACGGCGCTGCTGTCAGTGCCGCTGTCTGGATCGCTTGGATGAAAGCTGGCTCGGACGTGCCCGCTGCGGGGTAGCATCAACTCCCGGCTGCAATGAAGAGAAGCCCTCGGCAACTAGCAAAGACTGCAAAACTGCAAAGACTGAGGGCTTGAGAGGGAAAAAAAGAAACTTGGCCTTGACCTTTCGAATGATGTGGGCCTTGGAGCTACAAAAAGCGATTTAGCTCTTGTGATCTCCCCAGAGAAAGGAGCTCTTCTGGGACAGGCTGTGAGGAAGAGCACGATGGGAAGAGAGCAGCTTGCTGGAGGATGCTACCGCTGCCACTCAAAAGCCGCTGAAAACTACACTGTGCTTAATAAGGTTAATGATTTTAGCGTATTTCTGTAACAAGCCAAACTGTCACAATGTTAAATCCATCAAGCTTGGAAAAATACAAACTGTTTTGTTTATATTCCCCAGTTTTTCAATTTTTCTTGTTTAACAAGAGATAACTCCACTTTCAAAACAATTTTATTTACACATTGCAACAGCATCACTGTCACAGGATTGTTGCAGTACAGCTGGAGGCCTGCCAGCGCTTGTCGTTCCGACATATGAAATGTAGTGTTGCCAGGGAAATCCTGCTCCCTTTATTGCTCCTGATTTGCCGTGTTCCCCTTCTTTCCTG